GCAGCAGCCGCAGGCCCAAGTCCTTACCTGGCCTCCAGGAGGAGAGGGGAGCTCGTCTAGAGGCAGGCCCTTCTTCTCTCATTAGCTCTGCCTCTTCAAAAGGCTTTCCTTACACCTGCAGGGATGTGGTCCTTGTCCTTCCACCCTCCCCTGACCCCAACACACACACACACACACACACACGCACACACGCACCCTCTCTGCTTTCTGCCCAGGGAGTCACGTCTTCCTGGTTCCTTCGTCAGTTCCCCAAGCCCTTGTCCCTTTCCCCACAGGCATCAAACTGGACTTCAAGAACATCAAGGCTGTGGGCCCCTCCCTGGACCTCCTGCGGCGGCTGACAGAGGAAGGCAAAGTCCAGCGGCCCGTGTGGATCAACGCTGACATCTTAAAGGGCCCCAACGTGCCCATCTCATTTGAGGTCAATGCTACACAGTGAGTGTTCGCCTCTCTGTCCCAGCTGTGTCCAGCCTTCTTCTGTCAACACCTAGCACAACGTGAGGATCTTGGGGACCTCTGAGTTTGTCTCCAGTCACGCTATATAGTCTCACCTCTGGGCCTTTGCACGAGCTATTCCCTCTACCTCCAGTGCCTTTCCCCTCTTTTCTGACAAACCACTGGCCAGTTGTTATCTCCTCCAGAAACTTCCTTGACATCCCAGGCTGCTGCAGGATGTCCTCTGGGCCCCTCAGCCCCTACACTTCCTCCTAACACAGCCTGACTTCATGGAGCTGTCACTGTGGGTTCACAGGTCTGTCACCTACTACACTGAACTCCCGGAGGACAGACCAGGCCAAGTCCTTCCCTATATTCCCCAGTGACCAGCACAGGATTTGGCCCGCTAGAAAAGTCTAAAACCTTGACTCCGTCCCCAGCCCCCATGAATTCCAGCACCGCTGCTGGCAGACCTGACATGCAGTAGCTGCTCTGCAGTTTACAAGGAGACCACATAAGAGGAGAGCCTGTTTTTGATCTGATCCTGACGTAGCACTGCCAGGTTAGCGCTTTCTCCCCATTTTGCAGATGAGAAAGCTGACAAGAGAAGCATCTCAATTTGTTACGTGTTTATTATGTGTCCCAGACACTGTTTTAAGTACTTTACTTAAAGAACACCATTTAACTCTTACGAAAATGAGGTAAGTGCTATTATTTCCATTTTATTAACGCAGGGACTATATTACAGACGTGAAAAGACCTGCCTAAGTCTAGCAAGAGGCAGAGCAAAGATTCAAACCCAGGCCCTCTGATTCTCAGCTGCAGGCTCCTTCCCATCCATCTCTCCCTCCACCCATCCAGCCAGCCAGCAACCATCCATCTAGCACTTATTATTGTGCTTCTCAAGCTGAGGTGCCTTCCGAAAGTAGCACTTTGGAAAATGTAATCAATGGCCCAAGATAAATATGACCTGTCTTCTTGGAGTGCTAATTTTACTCAGTAGGGTTTTTTTGGTAGGCAGTGGGTGACAACATAATTTTCCTGTTAAAATTTGCATCTTTTAAAGAAGAAAAGTACAAAGAAAAAATTAAAATATTTTCATCAAGGCCAAGTTCAAATAAAATTTTAGGCTGGGCATGGTGGTTCACACCTATAATCCCAGTACTTTGGAAGGCCAAGGTGGGCGGATCCCTTGAGCTCAGGAGTTTGAGACCAGCCTGAGCAACACAGCGAGACCCCGTATAGAAAGAAAAAGAGAGAAAGAGAAAAAAAGAAAGATACAAGGGGAAGGGAGAGAGGGGAGGGGAGAGGAGAGAGGAAGTCTCTTTTTTGTTTGAGACTGAGTCTCATTCTGTCACCCAGGCTGGAATGCAGTGGTGCAATCTCGGCTCACTGCAACCTCCACCTCCCGGGTTCAAGCAATTCTCCTGCCTCAGCCTCCTGAGCAGCTGGGACTACAGGAGCAAGCCGCCACACCCAGCTAATTTTTTGTATTTTAGTAGAGATGGGGTTTCACAGTGTTGCCCAGGCTGGGAAGGAGAGAAATTTTAAAGAAAACCTGAGAAACTTCAAAGGCTCACAGCTGGCAGAGCGCAGATTCCCACACGCGGGGACTGAGTCAGTTTTGTATCTAGAAGGGGATGTTTAAGAAGCCTGCCCTGCTAGAGGGGATGATGTCTGTGATGCTGAGTGACCAATCCAAGGTCAGAATCAGGATCTGAACCCAGACTTCCCTGACTCCAAAGTCCATGCCCAATTCATGGGACCCGAAACAAGCCATTCTGTTCTTTGGGACTCTGCTTCTGACCTTATCACAGATCTAATAGGCCCTGCCACTCCCTAGCACGGGGACGAGAACCCAGAGGAGAGGAAGGGGCCGGCGCAGCTCCCGTGAGACCAACATCTCCGATTTTTTTGCAGGTTCCTGGCCCTGGTCCAGGAGAAGTATCCCAAGGTCACCCTGTCTCCAGGCTGGACCACCCTCTACCTGACCATGTTCCCAAACAGGACGTACACCCGAGCCATGGTGGAGGAGATGCACGAGCTGGTGGGAGTGGTACCCCAGAGGGTCACCTTCCCTGTGCGGTCTTCCATGGTGCGGGCCGCCTGGCCCCACTTCAGCTGGCTGCTGAGCCAATCTGAGAGGTGAATACCACCAAACCCACCCCACCCTCCTGGAGGTGCTGATGCCCCCAGCAAGATCCCAGATGTTCATGGATGGAAGGGTCTTTTTTTTGAGATGGAGTCTCGCTCTGTCACCCAGGCTGGAGTGCAGTGGCACCATCTCAGCTCACTTCAACCTCTGCCTCCCAGGTTCAAGTGGGAGGCACTCCTGCCTCAGCCTCCCAAGAAAGCTGGGACTACAAGTGTGTGCCACCACGCCTGGCTAATTTCTTGTATTTTCAGTAGAGACGGGGTTTCACCATGTTAGCCAGGATGGTCTTGATCTCCTGACCTCATGATCTGCCCACCTTGGCCTCCCAAAGTGCTGGGATTACAGGCGTGAGCCACCACACCCAGCCATGGATGGAAGGGTCTTAAAGGTCATATGGTCCAACTCTTGCTGGTGCTCATGCCCTCTACAGAGTCCCTGCTTTCTGCTTGCATACCTCTGGTGATGGGCTACTCACTACCTCCTGAAGGAGCCCTTTCATTGGTGGGTAATTCTCTGCCCCCCAGAAAGTATTTATACCAAGACACAATTTGTCTCCCCACAGCCTCCTCCAGTAGGAGCCAGGTATAGCCCTGGAGCAACATATATTGTGCCTTCAACCCCTGCCCTAGGATAGCCCTATAGGAATTTAGAGACTCCCCTACCCCTACTATCCCCCCTACTTTCCTTAGCTGCTCCCCAGAGGACTCCCAAAGCTGCCCCTCCCCCTCTTCATGCTTGACCCGCCCTTCCACATCCTCCCCCGTCGGTCCTGCCCCTTTCCTAGGACAGGACTCAGAAACAGACTGCAAGTGAGGAGGCAGGACAGGCTCCCCCTCCCTCCTGAAAGCTCTGCTTTCAGTCATCTTTCCTGAATTCCCTCTGGCTACTGCCCTTGGGAAGGGGTAGGACTCAGGGAGAAGTGGCGGGTGGGCGACTGGAGGACAGATGTGCTACCCTGGGCCCAGCTGGCATCCAGTTCTGAGCACAGGAGTGGGGCTGAGGGCCTTGCTGAGCTCAGACAGGCACTGAGCCAGCTCTGGTGGCCCCAGGTATAGCCTGACGCTGTGGCAAGCTGCCTCGGACCCCATGTTGGTGGAGGACCTGCTCTACGTCCGGGACAACACTGCTGTCCACCAAGTCTACTACGACATCTTTGAGCCTTTCCTGTCGCAGTTCAAGCAGCTGGCCTGTAAGGAAAGGAACTGGAAGGGGGGTGTGGACTGGATTCTGCACGGGGCAGCACTTGGCTGGCACTGGAGCAGAGCTGGGAGGAAGTGATATCGGAAGGGGGAGAGCCAGGGTGAGGCAGGAGGAGGATGCATTTTGGGTACCAGGTGCTGGAATGGTGTGCTAAGCTTCACATATCCATTTTATTTTTATTGTTATTTTTTCGAAACGGAGTCTGGCTTTGTCACCCAGGCTGGAGTGCAGTGGCGTGATCTCGGCTCATTGCAGCCTCTGCCGCTCGGGTTCAAGCAATTCTGCACCACCACACCAGCTAATTTTTGTACTTTTAGTAAAGACAGGGTTTCACCATGTTGGCCAAGCTGGTCTCAAACTCCTGCCCTCAGGTGATCCACCCGCCTCAGCCTCCCAAAGTGCTGGGATTACAGGCGTGAGCCACTGTGCCTGGCCCACACATCCATATTATAGAGAAACAGAGGCACAGAACAGTTCAGGAATTTATACAGTCACTCAGCTTGTATGTGGTCCAGCAGGCAGGAACCCAGCAAATTCCAAACCCCATATTATTTTTGTACACAGCTCCACTATGTGCTACTCTAATGTTTCAGAGATCTCCACCGTATTCACTGAGCAGTGATCAGACGCTGCCACCCAAACCCCTCATTCCCTTGTCCCCAAACCCAGGAGAGCCGCAGTTAAGCCATCTCAAAGGGGCCCCATCAGACTCAGCATTCCTGCTAACTAAGCAGGAGCCATCTAAGCAAGGGGGGAAGGATACCAGCTCTGGGGCCAGGCAGATCTGGTCTCAGCAGGTTCCACTCCCAGCAATTCTGCTCACTGCTTATAGGACCTTGGACAAGTCACTTCTTGTAGTCTACAAAACAAGGAAATTAGAGCTGCTTGGCAGGGTGCCACGAGGCTTAGCGTGGATGCCTGTAGAGCTGCGGCCTACAGGTGTTCCATGAACGGCAGCCACTTCACCTTGGCAATTTGGGGCCCCACAGTGAACGCCACACGGAAACGAATGTACTATACGGGGGGCAGCCTGATCCCTTTTCTCCAGCTGCCGGGGGGTGATGGGCTGAACGTGGAGTGGCTGGTTCCCGACGTCCAGGGCAGCGGTAAAACAGCGACGGTGACCCTCCCAGGTAAGGCCTGCCTTCAGCCCTGGTGCTCCTAGCTCATCTGCAAGGGTGTCCTCTGCTTGGGGCGGGTACCTCCGGTCTCTGTTGCCATGGCAACACAGGTTTATTTACACCATGCGCTGGAGGCAAGGTGGGGCAGGGTTGCAGGAGAGGGAGGGGGAGTACAGTGGTGTGAAGAGCACAGGGCTCCTGGCCTTCAGACCAGCCCCCAGCCACGGTGCTGTGGGCAAGGCTGGCACTGGCCCCCAGGCTGAGTCACAGGTAAAGACCAAGAGCTGAAGCAAGAGTTTCTTATGCACCAGGCCCATTTATAAAGCAACCCATCCACCTGGAGCCCAAAACTGGGTTGACAGATTCCAGAGAGGCAAGGCCCTTGGATGCCCCCAGAACTCCCACTGCCCCTTTAGCAAAGGACTCTAATACCCTATCATAACCCAAATCTTAAACACTGTTGCCTCTGCTGCCTCTTCCAGACACAGAAGGCATGATCCTGCTGAACACTGGTCTCGAGGGAACTGTGGCTGAGAACCCCGTGCCCATTGTTCGTGCTCCAAGTGGCAGCAACCTGACGCTGGAGTCCTGCCTGCAGCAGCTGGCCACGCATCCCCGACACTGGGGCGTCCATTTGCAGATAGAGGAGCCCGCAGCTCTCCGGCCATCCCTGGCCTTGCTGGCACGCCTCTCCAGCCTTGGCCTCTTGCACTCGCCTGTGTGGGTGGGGGCCAAAATCTCCCACGGGAGTTTTTCGGTCCCTGGCTATGTGGCTGGCAGAGAGCTACTTACAGCTGTGGCGGAGGTCTTCCCCCACGTGACTGTGGCACCAGGCTGGCCTGATGAGGTGCTGGACAGCGGCTACAGGGAACATCTGCTCACAGACATGCTAGAGCTGTGCCAGGAGCTCTGGCAACCTGTGTCCTTCCAGATGGCGGCCACGCCACTGGGCCACAGCACAGCTGGAGCCGTAGCCAGGCTGCTGGCCTCTTCCCCCCGGGCCACCGTCACAGTGGAGCACAGCCCATCTGGGGGCGACTATGCCTCTGTGAGGGCAGCGCTGCTGGCAGCCAGGGCTGTGGACAGGACCCGAGTCTACTACAGGCTGCCTCAGGGGTACCGCAAGGACTTGCTGGCCGACGTTGGCAGAAACTGAGCACCTGGGGTGGTGGGCCAGTGGACCTCAGGGCGGAGGCTGCCCATGGAGAGGCAGGAAGAAATAAAGGCCTTTGCCTTTCTCCAGGCACTGTGTGTGAGTCCTTGGGAACAGGATGGAGTGGGGGTGGGCAGGATGTGGCCACTGAGGGCATCTAGAGGGTCTGGAGACTGGGGGCCAGATCATTCCGGTTGTCCAGGAGAAACTGCTCGCAAGCCTTGAAGGTGGTGTAGAACTCAGAGGAGAGGCCGGCCACATTGGCGGTCACATAGTTGAGAACGCCCGGGGTGGCCTGGTTGTAGTAGGACACCTGCAGGGTTGGGAGGCCAGGCTCAGGGGGACCTAGCTCAGGGAGGGTTCCGGGAGGGGGTGGGAGCCCAGTGGGAACAAGGCTGGTGGCAAGTCAGCCTTGCTTGCCCTCTGGGAGGGCAGAAAATTCAGCCCAGCTCCAGGGTCTTAGATGACATGGCTGGCAGGCATGACCTCCTCCAGCAGATCTCCCCAACACTTCCTAGGGTGCTGACAACCCTGGCTTCCTGCCACCACACACCACATTGTCATCACGCATCTTCCCTGCCAGCTGGTGTCCCTGGAGGGCAGGGGCTGCGTCTCCAGGGCCCAGCTCTGAATCTCAGCCACAGAGACATGCTAGGCAGGAGCCCAGGGATGGTTCTGAGGTGCCATAGGTTCAAGCATATGAATTCAACAGACACTGGCTGAGTCTCTGCTGGGGGAGTCTCAGGGCCAGACTCAGCGGCAGGGCCCTAACAGAAGCTGTGAGCGGGGAGGCTGCTACACCCACCCTCGCTTTCCCTCAGCGTCCTCCCTGTGTTTTCCATCAGCCCGGACTACCCTGCTGGGTTTTATGGGCCCTCAGAGCCTTATAAATCCTTCCTAGATGAGAAGGGCTTTCCACGCGCGACGGAGTTTCAGTTCAGAACCCAGGCCTTCCGCCCTCAGCACCCAGAGTTTTCCCAAGACCATGCAGCAGCCTCTGACTCACCTCCACACACATGGCATCATTTCCAGCCCCTGACACTCAGGCTCCCCCAGGCTGGAAAGGGGAGCCTGCTGGGAGACCCAGTTCTGGACTGTCCTAGTCCAGTAGTTCTGAGTTCCATGCACGTGTGTGTTGGGGTGGAACCAGGCTGGGGGCATGGTGGGGGGGGGGTGGCCTCACCTTGGTCAGCTGGTCACCCTCGCGCCAGAGGCAGAAGCCTGAGCAGAGGGTTTCTCCACGCCTGTACTCTGGCGTCTCTCGGTGTGTGGGCAGTGTGACCGACCTCAGCGCGATGACATAGGGGTCCCTGAGTGAAGGCAGGGTAGCAAGGGGGCAGAGGTCAGCCACAGAAGAAAGTGGGGGCCTGTTCTGCCCAACCGAGGCCCAGACCCTGCCCCCTCTGGCGCGGATTCCTCACCAGGGGCTGCATGGCACATCGACTCTTAAAGCCCCGACACCCGGCTCAGGGCCCAGCCGGAGGGAGGAGGCGCCTGTGGGTTGGCACTGAATTCCCTGGGAGCCAACCTGACTCCACTGTGGACTTTCTGGAAAAGTCACTCTACTTCAGTGTGTGGGGGAAGAGTGTGGGCTTTGGGATTTTTTTCTGTCCCTGCCTTTCCAGCGAAAGAGATGTTTAGGCCCTCCAGCCCACATGGGGCTGTCAGAGGGAGGAGGCCAAGGGAGTGGCCATGTGAGAAATGTCCTGTCCAAGGCCTGCATCGAGGCAGCCTGAGCCGCCCTGGGTGACGGTGGCCCTGCCTTAGAAAATGTGACAAGAGGGGAAGTGTGCGCCCCGTCCCTATTTTACCCATGGTAAAGCCACAGCAGCCCAGAAAAGCCTTGTGGTGCCTGGGGCCCCACAGCCAATGGGAAACAGAGCTCTGGCTCCAGGCAATGCCCTTCCCTGGGAGAGAGATGTGGCCACCCTAACACTCTGTCCCGTTTTGCCCCCCACCCCACAGCAGATAGGTACACACCCATTGTCACAAGGCTTCCGCCTGGAAGCCAGGATCACGAAGTCCTGGGGCTTGGTGTGACCTCCAAGGGCAGGGCTGGTGACGTGGTAGATGGCATCATCCTCGTCCACCTGCTGCACCAGCTCCACGCTCCTGTGGGGAGACCGGGATCTCAGCCTCCAGCTCCTGTGCAAGCCGCGGGGCTGCCCAGGTCCTCCCACACCACAGCGCCCAAGCAGTCTCCCCGGTGGGATGTCACCCCCTATACTGGTCACCAGGGAGCAGCAGGAAGGCAGCAAGACCCAGCCAGGGTGGACACACACGTCCAAGTGCACACACAGGCACACGGAGACATGCATGCAAGCAAACGAACACATACACAGACGTGGGATAAAGATATGCACACACCTGTGCACACACTATGTGCACAGGTACATGGACAGACACCAGTGCACACAGAGACCCATGCATGTCTGTACATGTCTGCGCAGGTACAGACACCACAAGGATGTGTGATGATTTAGCAGCTGTGCTTAACATTCACTGAGCACCCACTGAGTGCCAGGTGCTGTTCTAAGTGCTTAACTCGTGTCACTTAATCTCCATAACAGCCCCATGCTGTAGACACTGCTAGGATCCCCAACTCATAGATGAGGAAAATAACCTGCCAGTTGCCACAGAGCTAATAAGGAGGCAGGGCTGGGGTATGTTCAGGCTCTCAGTGGCAGAGATGTATCCCCAGGCCCCGGCACCCAACACACATGTGTGGGCATACACAGGCTCATATCGACACAGGCACGCACCCAGGACACCCACACAGAGGCACACATGGCCATGTCCAGACCCACTTTCTCCTCCCCGCTCTCCTGCTGCACTCAGGAGCAGGCAGGGTATGGGGAAGAAGCTAGCCGCTCTTTCCCCTCAGGCCTCTCCCCCACACATCCCATCAGGTATCAAGATTTGATCTGGCCTTCAAAGCCCACCCCAGCCTCCCTCCAAGAAGCCCACCCACCACATGCACAACCGCCCTTCCCACACACGGCATCCCCCACCAAATCACCTCTCTGCCCTCTGGAAGGGGACCACCAGCAGACCTGAATCAGTTGGACCAGAGCTTTTGAAAGCAACATGGCCCTTTTTGCAAAGAAAACTTCAGCAGGAAGCCCATGTATAAAGAGCAACAAGCCTGCTCTGGAGAAGATAGATGGGGTAGGAAGCGGAAGGCCAGTTTGTCAAAATACAATTCACCAAATGACAGGCGCACTGAATTTCCAGACACACAGAACCTCCTTACAGATATCCTCCAGAATGTAGTCTCCTCATAACAAGCTCTCAAAGAAACCCTCAAGCTAGGATGTTGGCAGAACAGAAAAAGACTTTAAGGGGACTTGAAAAACACAAATTTTGCTATTTTCCTAAGAACACATTTATCTTCCTTGACTAAATTCGAGAAGAGTCACATGAACAATCAATAAATTTGGAGGAACAAATGTATTTAAAGGAATAACATTTCCATTCATAATCATTCTCTATATTCAAAAATAACATATTTGTGAGGAAAATCAGCAAACTTGGTCAGTTCAGCAGCTGGCCATGCTATTAGTTGGCATAAACCCAAGAGAGGCTCCCACACCCTTCGGCCTTCTGACTCCGCCCCAGGCAGTCCTGGAAGCCCCCTTGGGAGCACAGCACTCCACAGCACATGGTGTGAAAGGCACTGTCTCCAAGTGTGAATCCGTGACCCACCACCCAAGCACCCATTTTAAGAAGAGAGAAACTGAGGCCAGAAGGGAAGTGACTTTGACTTATCCAGTGTCACCCGGCTAGTTGGGACAGAGGCAGGATGTCAACTCAAGCCTCCAGCTCCAATTCCATGTTCAGCCTCTCCCCTAAGGGCTCAAAATAGCCATGACCCGGACCCCCACCCAACATGGAACTCCAACCCACCCCCAGCCCCTGCTAATGGCCAGGAGGGCAGAGCATCATGGAGGACGACCTGCAGAAGGAGACACCCTCTCCCCCATCAGGCCAGAGAAGGGGCCCTGCCCTGCCGTCACCCTGGCCCCTCACCGGTAGTGCTTGTCCCACTCAGGCCTCCGACGCAGGTCCGAGAGCAGCACAAAGGCCTGGGCTGCGTCCACATGCACCACCATCTCCATGTGGAAGGAGAGGAACTTGTCATCCTCCAGAGTATACAGGCGGACCTGCATGGGTCAGAGGGCAGCCTCATTTGCTGGGCAGTGTAGTGGACTAATGGGGATGCTGGAGGCTGAGGCTGGAAGCTCAGGGTGACAGCTGACTTGCTGTGTGACTGTGAACACACAGCCCAACCTCTCTGAGTCTCAGCTGCATCCCCATGAAGATGGACTGATGAGAGAATTCAGCACAAATGGGCAGGAAGGTGGCTTAGGACGCCAGTCACTAAGGCAACACGCCGTGGTGATGTGGGAGATGGCGTCATCCTCGTCCACCTGCTGCACTAGCTCCACGCTCCTGTGGGAAGGCTGGGATCTCAACCTCCAGCTCCCGTGCAAGCCTCGAGTCTGCCTGGGCCCTCTCACGCTGCAGCACCCAAGAACAGTGCTTGGCACATGGTAAATGCCCAGACCCACTGTGTGACCCTGGACAAGCAGCTCTGCCTCTCAAGCAGGAGGCAACTTGTCCAAGGGCACAAGCAGCTGGCAGAGCTTAGGTCTCCTGTAAGCCCGTGCCTGCTGGCTGCCCCCATCCCTGCAGCAATCACAGAAGAACAGGGAGGAAGGGAGGAAGTGCCTGGGCACACAGCAGCAGACCCGAGAGAGTGGCTGAGGGCAGGAAGGGGGGCAGGCAGGAGAGAAGGGTCTAGGGCTTCTTGACTCCAGGCTCTGAGGGGTGGGTACGTTTCCATAACTGGACTGGTTTCTTGATCTCACCTAATTCTTTGAAGAGATCCTTTTTTGACATAAGTGGTGTGAGAGAGTTCTTGCTGCTTGCCATCAGCCACCTCTGGCTCAGAGGAGAAAGGAAAGTTGGGTAGATAGGGTCAGCTACCTGACTGATCTCTGAGGACAGCACCCAGTTGTCCTTGGCCACGAGCATCTTCAGGGAGGAGACGTTATTGTAGCTCAGATACACCTGGAAGAGCACACAGGTACTACCACTACCCCGATCCCTTCCTCCAGGGCCCCAGAGCTGAGGCCAAGGGTGTCCCAGAGAGGAACCCGGACCATGAATGCAGGGGCGGGTGCTGTAGAAAGAGTCCTGGACTTTGGGAAGGGAGGTCCAGGCTTGGGCTTAGACCCACTGTGTGACCCTGGACAAGCAGCTCTGCCTCTCAAGGTCTCCGCTTCCACCTGCCAAATGGGAATGCAGGCAAGCTCTTTGCTAACAGTAGCAATCGTGAGGCATGGCATTCATATCCTGCTCTCTCCAGCCTTCCTCCAAATCCATTCTGCCAAGCAGGGGAGGGTAGAGGCCCTGGTGGGTCTAAAGACTGTCCCCTTGGGAGCAGAGGGCCTTACCTGGTTGCTAGGGTCCCAGGGGACAGTGAGGGGCACCTCTGTCTGCTTATAGGACATGATGTACTTCCTGGGAAGGAGGGAAGATGACAACCTGGGTCCCCTGTAAGTCCAGCACTTTCCACAGACTCTACTGCAAACCTACTGTGTGCTAGGCCCTGTGCTAAGCCCAGCAGAGCAGGAGACTCCTGTCTAGCTAGGGAGGCTGGATGGTCACACAGGACACGGCAGCTGAGAGCACACCAGCTCGGCACCTACACCAAGGTCAGCCCAGAGGCGGGAAGCAAGTCAGCAAGGAAGGGTAATCTAAGGCTCGGTCCCCACACCCCACACCCCTGCTGAGTGACCTCACCCTGATGCTGCTGTGTCCTCATCTGTGAAATGGGATCAGCAGTCACCCCTGCCTCATGGGGTCATCGCAAGTGCTTGGCACATGGTAAATGTTCAGTGAATGCCATAGATGCACTTTCTTATTAACAACAGCTGTGATCCCTGCTGTGCTTATAGCCCTTAAAAATCTCTAAATGCTTTCACAGCAGAGTCAGACACACCTGGCTTTCACTCCTTTTTTTCTTTATTCTTTTTTTTTTTTTTTTGAGATGGAGTCTCATTCTGTCACACAGGCTACAGTGCAGTGGCGCAATCTCAGCTCACTACAACCTCCACCTCCCGGTTTAAGCTATTCTCCTGCCTCAGCCTCCTGACTATAGGTGCACTGGAACTATAGGCATGAGCCACCACGCCCAGCTAATTTTTGTATTTTTAGTAGAGACGGGGTTTAACCATGTTGGCCAGGCTGGTCTCGAACTCCTGACCTCAGGGGATCCACCCACCTCGTCCTCCCAAAGTGGCTTTACCTCTTAAGCAACCGCATCTCCCCTCTGAACATTTCTTCATCTGCCAAATGGGCATCAGAATCAATGGGAAAAACACAGGATTTAAATTCGGCCGGACCCAGCCAGGTTCAAATTCTGACTCTGCCGATGATATCTGTGTGTCCATGGGAAGCTACCTAACCCCTTCATCCCCAGCGCCCTTGCCTGTACAACAGGCCAGACGACCACTGTGTAATGAGACCAAACCAAAAAGATGTGAAGGGCTCGGCCCAGGGCCCAACACATAGGCAGCCCTGAAGACAAGTGAGTGCTCGGGGGTCGGTGGAGCGTGAACAGCCCCAAACCCGCATTCTGCCCGCCACACAGCCCCTACTCACCTGTCCAGACGGATCTTCTTTCTGGCACTGGCCTCTCGGTACCGCCGCTCACCATCCTGGGGAGGAAGTCGGGATAGGCCATGCCTCGAGAGGTGCAACCAGCTACCCCTACCCTCCATGACACCCGCTCTCCATTCCCCAGGGCCCAAGGAGATCTGCAGCCCTAACGCGGAGTTCAGGTATCACTGGGGCAGCTGGAGTCAAAATCTCCTGGCCGAGAAAGTAGGAAACTAAGCTGTAGCCCCAGCTCCCCTCAAACTCTCTGAGTGACCTGGGAACACCATCTCCCCTGGCCAGACCTCAGATTTCTCCTCTGTAAAATGGAGATCCTTAGCTGGGCGCAGTGGCTCACACCTGTAATCTCAGCACTTTGGGAGGCTGAGGCGGGCAGATCACAAGGTCAGGAGATTGAGACCATCCTGGGCAACATGGTGAAACCCTGTCTCTACTAAAAATGCAAAAATTAGCTGGTGTGGTGGCGCACACCTGTAATCCCAGCTACTAGGGAGGCTGAGGCAGGAGAATCGCTTGAACCAGGGGACTGGAGGTTGCAGTGAGCTGAGATCACACCACTGCACTCGAGCCTGGTAACAAAGCGAGACTCCGTCTCAAAAAAAAAAACAACGTGGATCCTTACAGGGCACTCACAGTGGTAATGAGAGTCCACATATATTGAGCACTCGCCACACACCAGCCATTCTTCTCAAGGGCTTTTCACATAGAATTGCACCAAATCCTAAAGCAACCCTCTGAATGGGGCTAGTGTGGTGTCCATTCTACAGAGGAAACTGAGACAAGGACGGGTGAAGGCTTGCCCAAGGCCACAGGGCTGAGGCCAGGGGCAGCACCCCAGGCCTGTCTCAAGCCCACCCTCTTTACCACCACATCTCACATCCCCCAGTCCCCAGCACAACGTGGAAAATGCCTGGGAAGCCTCTGTGGCTGTGGCTCCCAGCTCCTAGTCCTAAGGCTCCACCCAACTCCACAGCCCACGCTAGGCTCTGGGAGGCCAGCACGCAGGGCAGGGGACCTGCCCCAAGGGAGGGAGCAGCCTCTCAGGGGGCACAGGGAGCATTTATTGTAAGAAAGGACCATTGCACCAGGCTCCTGACTGACTTCCCATGCCCCATACATTGCTTTCACCATCATCCTGACCACTCCCAGGGCTCAGCCAGGCACTGAGTCAGTTGGGCATCTATCACCCCGCAGCCCTATGAGGCAGGGACCGCAGATATGCCCATTTTACAGATGAAGACTGAGAGCTCGAGAGGGTACCACTTGAATATGGTAGAGGCAAGGTTCCAACCCACATCTGACTCCAAAGCCAGTGCTCTCCCAACTCTGCAGGCTCGTGACAGCCCATTAACCCCAACTCTGAGCCAGACCCACACATATTCGGAGTTCTGCCAGGCAGAACAAGTCCGCCCTGCACAAGGGGCATCCTGGGGCTCACAGCCAGAACTCTCAGAGCTGGCTGTGTCCCAGCACCAGGGCAGAGTGGGCCCCTCGTGTCCCTGTAGGGGGCTGGCAGGCTCCACCACACAAGGGCAGAGAGGGAGGGGAGGACAGCTGCTGGTGAAGCAGGGTGCTGACTCCACTCACCCCAGGCTGGGGCCGAATCCAGGGCAGCAGCTGAGGTTGGTCATCTTCGTCCAGGACCACGAAAGTCATAAAGGCACTGTTGATGTGGCGTCGGTGGGTCTCAGCCTCCTGGCGATAGGCCTCCACGCATACGCCCACCTCCATGCTGAGGGGAGGAAGTGCAGCTTCCATCCTGGACAGAACTTCCCGAGGGCCATGCCTCCTCCCCAACACACACACACTCACACACACATGCATGAACACACACACACACGCATCCACACACACACACATGCATACACATATACATACACACGTGCACACACACATGCATCCACTCACACACATGCATGCACACACACACATCCACACACATGCATGTACATATACATACACACACATGCACACGCATGCATCCACACACATATGTGCACACACATGCATGCACACACACTCCTGCAGTTCTTCCAGCAACCTAGATCCGAGTCCCAGTGACAGGACACCTGGGACCACTCCCTCCACCAATGTTTACAGGGCACCTCCTGTTCGTTCAGCCCTGTGAGGACACAGGAGTGAATAAACCTGTCCAGTCCATGCCTCACGGGCTAACAGCCAGGGGTGGAGGCAACCAACAAGAAAGCAAAGGTATAAGTATGCTGTCATAACCGTGAAGGGTATGGAAGGACATAAACCAGGAAGTGGAGGTGGACAGCCTAATTAGAAAATGTTCACTATGTGCATATTTACAAGCTCTGTGGCAGCCTTGCCTCAAACAGCTCAGTTGCTGCTATTCGTGTATACCTTACCATCTTTATTTCTTTATTCTTTTATTTTTTGAGACAGAGTCTCATTCTGTCACCCAGGCTAGAGTGCAGTGGCACAGTCTCGGCTCACTGCAACCTCTGTCTCCTGGGTTCAAGTGATTCTCCTGACTCAGCCACCCCAGTAGCTGGGATTACAGGTGTGCACCATCACACCTGGCTCATTTTTTTGTGTTTTTAATAGAGACAGCATTTTGCCATGTTGGCCAGGCTAGTCTTGAACTCTGAGCCTCAAGTGATCTGCTTGCCTCAGCCTCCCAAAGTGCTGGGATTACAGGTGAGCCACCGCGCCCAGCCACTTACCATCTTTATTCATTATAAGATAGCAGCCACCACCATTCCCCCTCATTTTGGAAGTTCTATGATTGCAGAATGTGGACATTAAATAGATGGGGAAACCAAGGCCTAGAACTAGGCAATAACGTTGCCAAGAATTCCGGATTCCTGGAATCTGGACTAGAAACCAGGCTTCACAGCTCCCGCAAAGGGCTTCTCCCCTGCACCGCAGCAGCGTGTGTGCGGGCCAGACTGCAAAGAACGACAGTAGTAGTAAGAGCAGCCGCAATGGCTGGCCTTTACTGGGCATTTTCTCTGGCATTCTACTAGTAACAGCTCATTGAATCCGCGTAACTCCGAGGTAGTTGTGATGAGCCCCATTTTATAGATGAAAGAACTGAGGCTCAGGCGGGTTAAGTTACTTCCCAAGGTCAGAGAGCCAAACTCAAACCCGGCAGCCTGGCTCCTGCTCCCTCACTTTTAATGACTAAATAATGATCTCTGAAATTCTCAAAAAATATACTTATTTAAAGTCAGCTTTCATGGGAGTATCATAAGTCATTGCAAAGGCAAGGACTCTGTGGACTAATTATTTTAGGAAGTGCATGGGAAAGGGTTTGATAAACAACCAGACACAGGCAAGAAGTGGCCCTGTGATCTACAGCAGGCAAGCCTGGGGCCAGGAGCCAAGGAGTGAGACAGACACTGGTCTAAGACAGCGGGAGATGGGCTGGGGCATCCCAGAGGAGGGGTCCCTAACGCAGCTGGGGTGGGCAGGACTGGGAGTCAGGGAAGGCTCCCAAGGTGGGGACATCAGAGCTGAATTTCAGAGACAACGAAGGAACTCAGCAGCCAGGCAGGGACTTAGACCCTGTCTGCAGGGAAAAGGGCACCTGGAAGGTTTGCCATAGGGTCAGGAAGAGCCCTCAGCCCTGAATGGCCCTGGCCTCGCCCATCCCAGACCCTCACCTATGTTTGAAGGCATTGTTCACGATGGCTTTGAGCACCAGACGGTCGCCGACCTGGGACGGGCCTCGGAAGTGGAACATCTCAATGGCCTTCAGCGTAGGGTGGGCACGGCAGAGCCGGCTGAGGAGGCAGGGGTGGGGAGACAGAAGGAATGCCCCAGTGCTTCAGACGCTAGTTTGGGCCAGCTTTTTTTTTTTTTTTTTTTTTTTGAGACAGAGTCTTACTCTGTTGCCCAGGCAACACTGATGCAATCTCAGCTCATTGCAACCTCCTTCTGCCTCCGGGGTTCAAACGATTCTCCTCCCTCAGCCTCCCAAGTAGCTGAGAATACAGGCACGCACCACCATGCCTGGCTAATTTTTGTATTTTTAGTAGAGATGAGGCTTTACCTTGTTGGCCAGGTTGGTCTTGAACTCCTGACCTCAAGTGATCTGCCCACCTCGGCCTCCCAAAGTGCTGGGATTTCAGGTGTGAGCTGCCATGCTAGGCCAGCTTGGGCTGGCCTTCTACCCTGGTCCCATCCCAGATCCAGCCTGGAGCCACACATTCTGACCCACCCACTGCCACCCAACCCAGTGGTAGTTCTGCTCAGAGGCACAGAACTAAAGTCCCATTTCACAGCTTAGAATACTGAGGTCTATGCATGGCTGGAAAGGAGCCAAGTTTGAGGGGACAGAAGAAAGCAGGGCTTGGGGTAAACCCCTTTCCCATTTTTCTTTCAACTTTTCCACCTTGATACCTGCTGTTCCCACTATCTAGAAGCCCTCCCCTTATCCAAAGCTACTTGGCATTCAAGGCCCAGCTGAAGTACTCTTCCTCCAGGCAGCCTTCCCTAACCATCAGACCCTCACCCTTCTCTGAGATCTTACTGTACTCATAGCCAGGGCTGCCCAAAATGGCATAAATGATGCACTGTCTCCCACAGGTTAAACTGGAGGAGGGGCCATTTAAGCCAGGCTCTAAAGAATAAGGAGGAATCTGCCTGGCTGGGAAGGGCATTCCTGGCAGAGGGAACAGCAAAGTCATGGAAGTGTGAGAGTGTCAATTCGTGAAGGTCAGTTGCCATAACCATAAAAAGTGCCCTGATATGTGGAGTGGAACAAGCCCTGAACAGGCTGAGGTTATGGGAGAGAAAACAATTCTCACCCCTTGGAAGAGGGAACAGTCAGAGATGGCTTCATGGAGGAAGTGGGCGGGATATTCGCCCACTCTTCTTCAGATGAAGAAGAGTGAGGGAAGCACAGCAGGAGGCTACACCAGGAGCAAAGGCAGAGGCTGGGAAAGTGGAGGATGGCAACAAAGAACAGACAATGGCTTGATGTAAAGGGAACATATACACTAGAAGGAGTGCAGGTAGGGCCACATCAAGGGGAGGATCTAGTGCCAGGCCAAGAAACCTGGTGTTTCCCACGTAAAAGATGGGAGCATTTTGAGTAGAAGAAGGAACAGTCAGTTCACAAAAATTCGTTTCTCTGATTCGGAACAGCTGAAGCCTTGAACGCCAACCCCAAGCTGTGGCTTCCCCTCCAGAGGGAGATGGCCAAGGAGGGGAGGAGGAGAAAGGAGGGAAGGCAGAGGCAGCACACTCTGCCCTCACCTGGCTGCAATGGTGGCCACATTCTCCATCCAGGCCATGATCTGGCCCCCAAAGGTGTTGCCCTGGTGATTGGCGTGGGGAGGCAGGACCAGTTCCACGCTCTCCACACGGGTCTTCTCGGCCGGCACCATGCGGCTGCAGTCTCTGCTCTCCAGATCTGACCAGGGATGGGGTAAGGGAGGGAAGCGAGGAGGTGAGAAGGCCTCCAAGGGCAGCCCCTCCCCACAGGCAGCCCCAGGACCCCCACCTCTCCACCCCACTCAGGTTCTTTTATTTACTCGGCACCAAGCACACATGAGGCAGCGGGTGGCCCCGGGTGAGGAATGGAGGGCACAGGGTGAAAGGGATGAGCTCATCAAGCGCAGTGGACACAGCACCAGCTCTGAGACAAAACAGCTGGTCTGAGCCTCAGCTCCACTCCAGACTGCCTGCATGGCCTTGGGCAAATCAAGTAATCCCTCTGAAGCTCGGCTGTCTCATCTGTACAGACAGATGTCAAACCCGACCTGACAGGAATGTCTGAAGATGAAATGTGATTATTGTCATAAAGTGCTTGACTCAAGGCCAAGCGTGGTGGCTCACACCTATAATCCCAGCACTTTGGGAGGCCAATGTGGGTAAATCACCTGAGGCCAGGAGTTCAAGACCAGTCTGGCCTACATGGTGACACCCTGTCTCTATTAAAAATACAAAAAAAAATTAGCTGGGCATGCTGGTGGGCGCCTGTCATTCCAGCTACTTGGGAGGCTGAGGCACAAGAATCACTTGAACCCAGGAGACGGAGGTTGTAGTGAGCCGAGATCATGCCACTACACTCCAGCCTGGAAGATACAGTGAGACTCTGTCTCAAAAAAAATCATAATCACAAAGTGCTCCAGTAAATATACTCTCAGAAAGGACGGTTCTTCCCCACCCTCTGCCCTGGTGATTCCCTTATCCTTGGCAGCAACGGCATTAGGATATCCTTAGTAGAAGAGGCTAGGCAGTGAATGAGGCCTTGGGCTTCAGGGCAGCAGAGGTTGGCATGCCCCACCAAACCCAAGGTGGTGCCATTTGTCTCCCATCTCCCATAGATACTTCTTCAGGGAAGGTCCATCAAAGAGCTGGCATTCCCTTAGCTTGGCTTGCAGGCTCTGAAATGCCACAGGCAAGGCGGGGGCCAACAGGAGGGAAAGGTGAAGGTGGCCTGAGCCAAAGTCTGGAGACAGGATGCAGAGGGTATTGACAGGGCAATGGGGTCTGTGGCTTAGCGGGAGCTGCAGCAGGTCAAGAGACAGTACCCAGTCAAGCTGAGCAGCTGCATCAAGTGCCAGGCAAAGGCACTTGAGCTGATTCTTTGGTGGAAGGGCTGTGAGGACAGAAGAGACGCAGGGGGCTGCAAGGGGGTAGATGGAGCAAGGAGGCCTTGGTGACTGTAGAACAGCTGGGCCTCCTCAGCTCCAGCCTCCAAGCCCTGCATAACCAGGACACGCGGGCTCAGGGCACCGCTTGCCGCTTCCACTGAGCCTGAGGGAACATCAGAGCTGAATGCTCTGCTCTCTCCCCACTCCGGGGAGACTTTCGCCTAAGATCACCTCCTTTGGGTTTCAAGGAAGACTCATTCTGGAGATGAGTAAATGAGTCCAAGTCTCCCCTCTGGGCCTTTGCTCAGGCTGTGCCCTCTATCAGGAACCTTTCCTTAACTCCCACCTGTCAAAATCCCACCCGGTCCAAAGGAGATCTTTCTGTACTGGTATAGAACAACCCTCAAGATATACTTTTAATGGGAAAACTGCAAGATACAGACAGTATGTACTGAATGCCCCTTCTCAGGGGCTGAATAAAGATGCTATGCTTAGATATACAGGGACTACGTCTGGAAAGAGACCCTAAAATGGTTAGTAGTTGCTTCTGGGAAGAGGACCTGGGTTCTGGGATAGAAAGGAGTTTTGCTTTTTATTTTCTATCTTTTTGGGGGGAGGGAATATATATATACGTGTGTGTATGTGTATGCATATATACACACACACATATACGTAAGCACATACATATATATGTGTTTTTTACTTTTTTTAATTTTTGAGATGGAGTCTTGCTCTGTCATCAGGCTGGAGTGCAATGGCACAATCTCGGCTCACTGCAACCTCCGCCTCCCAGGTTCAAGCAGTTCTCCTGCCTCAGCCTCCTGAGTAGTTGGGACAACAGGCATCTGCCATCACGTCCAGCTAATTTTTGTATTTTTTAGTAAAGATGGGGTTTCACCATGTTGGCCAGGATGGTCTCAATCTCTTGACCTCGTGATCCACCCACCTAGGCCTCCCAAAGTGCTGGGATTACAGGCATGAGCCACCGCACCAGGCCACTTGTTTTACATATGCTTTTTTTTTTTTTTTTTTTTTTTGAGACAGTCTTGCTCTCTCACCCAGGCTGTAGTGCAGTGGCGTGATCTCAGCTCACTGCAACCTCCACCTCTTGGGTTCAAGCAGCTCTCCTGCTTTAGCCACCCAAGTAGCTGCGACTACAGGCATGTGTTACCACGCCCAGCTAATTTTTGTAGAGACAGGGTTTCATCATGTTGGCCAGGCTGGCCTCGAACTCTTAACCTCGTGATCTGCTCATCTCGGCCTCCCAAAGTGGTGGGATTACAGGCGTGAGCCACCGTACCCAGCCAGGTTTTATATATGCTTTTTATAGATGAATATATATATATATACACTTTAAAAACTCCTACAGAATATTCAAGGCGTTGCTCAATACTGTCTTCCCAAACACCTTGGCTTCTGGAGGCCAAAATGCGTTTTCTGGACAACGAAGGGATTTCCACAGGACCTAACCGCAGCCTCATGGTTCCTGGGAGCTGGCAGGAGGACCAAACACTCCCTTTCCCTGTAGAAGACCTTGGGGCCAAGAGAGCTAGAGAGGCCCCGGAGCCTCCCTTCCTGCCTCTGCCCAGTGGGGTCCCGGGGCAGAGGGGACAGGCAGGACCCAGCTACCCTCCCCATGCACACTGGCAGCTGCTCACTGTCCTGAATGGCGCAGTTGGCCAGGAGGTCCTTGATGGTGTCCGCATACACAAGGCGCATGCGCCGGCGCTCGGCCGCCACGCTGTGCTCCATCTTCTCCTCCTCTGTCCGTGGCGTGATCTGCTTCAGCTTCACCTGTCAGCCAGGGGACAGGTTAGGGGACCCTCAGGGCGAGTCTCCTGAAGTAGCACAAGGGCCTGTCCCCAGTGCCATCCCATGCCTGAGGCTGGCACACAGCAGGCCTGGACCACTGCTCAGTTCCAAGGCTTCCTCCTTCTTTGCCCCATCTTCCCGCCTCCATGATGACCTGATACCGCATACTCATCCTCCAGCTCCCACCCAGGTCCCTTCCTTGGGCAAAGGCTCAGAGGATGGGGGTGTCACTGTAGGACATGTGGAATGGTGGGACCAGAAGAATCCTTGCTGGAGAAGCACAGGGAGAGGTGGGGGAAAAGAGAGGCGAGGCAGCTGGGGGGTCCAAACGCAATGGGGACTGGGTCTTCCTCTGGGAGCTGTGGATTCCTGCTGTGTCCCTCCCCATCCTGATCCAGAGTCGCCATGGTAGGTGCCCAGGTTGCTGAGCAGCATTGAGCAGCCAGGGCACCCGCTCACCTTGGTGATCTCTCGATGGGCCACAAAGGTGGCCAAGGCCTTGCACACATTCCACTGCTTCTCAGAGCACAGGTCCTCCGAGGCCACCTGGATGCCCACCTAGAGAGGAACAGTAAGGGCGAAGGAACAAGGGGCAACATTGCACTCACCAGTGAGAAGCCCCACAGCTCCACCAGACAGCAAGTCTTAGCCCAGGCCAGGCCCCTAGAGTTTCTGTGCCACCTACCAGGTCTGGCAGGCCTGAGATCTGAGGTGGGTTTTGATTCTGCCCTTGGATCCCCATGAAACCTTGGGCAAGTCACATCCCTTCTCTGGGTCTCAGTTTCCTCATCTGCAAAATGGGAGTGATCAGACCTACCCTTGAAGGATTGTTGAGAGGATTAAAATGAGACTATGTCTACAACAGGGCTTAATGTAGGTAGAATTTTGGCTAAATTTAAAGGACAGGCCAGGCTCAATGGCCTATAATCCTAAAACTTTGGGAAGCTGCAGCAGGAGAATCACTTGAGGCCAAGAGTTCAAGACAACCAGGGCAACACAGTGAGATCCCTGTCTCTGAAAAAGAAAAAAAAAGACCCACAAAAATTATCTGGGTGTGGTGGTACATGCCTGTAGTCCCAGATACTCAGGAGGCTGAGGCAGGAATATTGCTAAAGCCCAGGAGTTTGAGGTTGCAGTGAGCTATGATTGCATCACTGCACTCCAGCTTTGGTGAAAGAGTAAGACCTCGTCTCAAAAAAATCATAACAAAAATAAAAAATCAAGGCCAGGCGAGATGGCTCACGCTCCTAATCTGAGCCCTTTGGGAGGCCGAGGCAGGCGGATCACAATGTCAGGAGTTCAAGACCAGCCTGGCCAACACAGTGAAACCCCATCTCTACTAAAAATACAAAACTTAGCTGGGCTTGGTGGCAGGCACCTGTAATCCTAGCTACTCGGGAGGCTGAGGCAGGAGAATCGCTTTAACCCAGGAGGTGGAAGTTGCAGTGAGCCAAGATCACATCACTGCATTCCAGCCTGGGTGACAGAGCTAGACTCGGTCTCAAAAAAAAAAAAAAATGAAGAACAGGCACCTGGGGGTACCTGAGCATTTATGGGGTGCCCAGAGGCATAGTCAGGACTATGCCACCCAGCCTCCGTTCTCCCTCAAGAACCACTGGCCCAGCTGGTGAAGTTGCCTGGGCCTGAAGTCTGCAGGCGGGAAACAGAGTCCTCCCCCACAGCTCACAGAGCCCTGAGCATCACCAGCAGTCCCCCGCATTAACTCAACAACCCTGCAACACAGGAATCATGTTCCCTTTTGCAAATGGGGAGACGCTGTGGGAGGCAGGCTCAGGGGCCAGAACCCAGCACTCTTGCTGCCCCAGCTCCACCTCCAAGATCAGGTGCTGAAGCTGTCTTCTCTCCATTCCCACAAACACCTGGCTGCCGAGGCTGGAAGTGAAGACTCGGGTCTGGACGTCAAGTGCCACGCTGGAATCTACGTAGCTCGGTGACCTGGGGCAAGTCCCTTCCCTTCCCCAGGCCTGGATTTTCCCGTCTGCGTTAGGGGATTTGGGACAGGAAGATCCTTGGGATTCCCCTTGCCCTGCCAACCACTGCAGAACTCAGCTGCTCTAATCAGGGCCCCGAGAGCGTGAGTGGGCCTGGGCTGCAGGGAGAACAGGGAGAGGAGGTAGAGGACCCACCCACGCACCCACGCCCAGGCAGTGCCCACCACACACACCTCCATGCTGGAGTTGAAGGCCCGGTTCACCTTGGCCTTGATATTCACCACTTGTCCAACACTGGGGAGAGGAAAGTAGGAGGTGAGCCTTCCAGAGGAGCCAGAGGGAGGAACAGGGTATCTCAGACACCTGAACAAGTATCTCAGATACTTGCAGAGCCTCTTTTGTGGGGAGCTGGCGGGAGAACATGGCTTGCAGAACATATTCACATCTGCGATGTCACCAAGTCCTCAAAGCCAGCCAGCAAGATAGCGTCAGCATCCCATTTTACAGATGGGGAAGCTGAGGCTGAGAGAAGTAGCACAATTGCACTCATCTGCTCCCTCGTTCCCTGCTCCCCGTTGTCCAGTTAATGCCTGTGCTTCTTTCTGCTCTTGGCTCAGTGGTCCCCTCCTCGGGGAAGCCGTCCCTGCCCTGCAGTGGCCCACCCACCAACAGAAGCCTGCTGAGGCTCACCCTGCAGCACTGTCCTGGCAGACTGAGCCGTGTCTCCCACCATTCGTAAGCTCTACCGGGGGAAGGGCCATGTGTTTTGCTCCCCATTGACTCTCCAAGGCCTAGCGCATGGCACAGGGCGGGTTTCCCATAAAGGGTCGCTAACCGAATTCATGCATTCTTGAATGTATTGAATGCCTAGTAAGGCAAGACGCTATAAACGAAGGGTGGGAAGAGAAATGGAAACATTTTAAAAATGCCTTCAAGGTGCCCAGCACTGTTGGAGCCTCAGGCCCACCCCTCTGGAGCCTCAGAATAAGCTTGGCAGGTAGGCTTAGGAGAAACTGAGCATTAGAGAGGTTAAGTCATTTGCCCAAGGTCACCAAGCTAAAAAGTGGCACAGCCAGGCTTCTAGACTGACTCTGTTGACAGCACCAGCCTCTCTCTTCCCAGCTGCGGCCTGTCCTTCTGGAATGATTCCCACATCTAAATGAATCCCCAGGGAAGCCACCTTACCTGGGCTGTCCCTAACGGAGGGGGCAGAGGGTACCCACTGATGGACTGTGGGGACGAGGGGCAGGAGGCTAAAGGCTGGCCCCATTCAATCGCCGTGTGACCTCCAGCGGGTCCTTTCACTTCTCTGGGCCTTGGTTCATGAACATGGAGAGTGCCATGCTGACTTCTTTCTCAAGTGACACAGTATCCTGGCCAAGCCTAGGAAGGATGCATTCCAAGGGGCCTGCTGGTCAAGGGGCGGCGCCACCATGAACACAGTGGGTATAGCCACACAGGCCTAGGTTCCAGTCAAGCTCCACCTTGACCACCACACTACAAAGCTGTGTGACCTTGGGTGAGTCACTTTGCCTCTCTGAGTCCATCTCCTCTTATGTAAAGTACAGAGAATGCATGGCTACTGCCTATGGTTCTGAGGGTCAAGTGAGAGAAAGAGGGGCTGAGCCAAGTGCCAGGCCTGGCCCATAGCAGGAGCTCAATAAATACCACAAGCTCATATCTGCCAGACATTTGTTGATTCATGTTCATTTTTTCAGCAATACTAATGGTCATGGGGTGGGGGTCATTTTTAGGAGATCCATGCTGACAGAGTGAGGGATGAAGCATCAGAATGTCTGCAACTCACTTTCAAATCCTTTAGCAGAGAGAGAGAGAGAGAGAGAAGGTATACGTATTACATCTGCAATCCCAGCACTTAGGGAGGCCAAGACGGGCAGATGACTTGAGCACAGATGTTTGAGACTAGCCTGGCCAACATGGTGAAACTCTACTAAAAATACAAAAAAAAACAAATTACCCAGGCATGGTGGCACACACCTGTAATTCCAGCTACTTAGGAGGCTGAGTCACAAGAATGGCTTGAACCCAGGAGGCAGAGGTTGCAGTGAGCCAAGATTGCACCACTGCACTCCAGCCTGGGTGATGGAGCGAGACTTTGTCTTTTAACAAGAAAATAAAAAAGAACGTATATGTATTCCTTTATCTATACATAGATAAAGCAAATTTAGAAAAATGTTAATTATTGGGTCTTAGTGTTTAATGTTTGAAAGTTTTCATGATCAAAAATTAGGACAAAAAATTTCTGTGGTCCCCCAAATAAAAATAAAAGTCTATTTTCTGTGGTGCTGGAGGAATTTGTGATTCTTCCTCCTCTCCCTTCTCTCTCTGGTGTCCCCCAAAGCCAAGTCGACATCCATGCGGGCTTCTAAGCTTCTCCTCCTTCCTGACTGCCCTCTGTCCCCACAGCTCAGGCCTAAACTGGATCCCTCCCCAGGGCCCCTGTCCAGCCTCCTCAAGGACCCCGGAACTCCTGGACACCCCTCCAAGTGTTCACAATGCAGACAAGCAGCCCCCATAAACAAATCTGACCCCCTATGAAGCCCTTCCCTAGACCAATCTACTCTCAGGAGACAAAGAAATGTGTTAATTGTACCACAGAAATTCAAATAGCAAACCCAGATGATGAAGGACTCTAAAAGGCAAATGGCCAGCTTTCCTCAATAAATACATTTTGAGAGAGAGAGAGAGACAGCGGGCTGGTGGAGGATGGTGGGGGTCTCCATAGAGGTTTTTTTAGAGGCAACCAATTACAATTATTTGCATCCTGACGTGAGTGACAAAATAACTGCAGGCTGGGTATGGTGGCTCGAGCCTGTTATATTAGAGCTTTACAAGGCAGAGGTGGGAGGATTGCTTGAAGCTAGGAATTTAGACCAGCCTGGTCAACATAGCCAGACCTCATCTCTACGGGCAAAAAAAATGTTTTAATTAGTAAGGTATGGTGCCACATGCCTATAGTCCCAGCTACTAGGGAGGCTGAGGCGGAAGCATGGCTTGAGCCCAGAAGCTCAGGGCTACAGTGAGCTGTGTATGATGCTGCCTCTGCACCCAAGCAACAGAGCAAGGCTCCATTCTGAAAAAATAAATAACTGCAAAGCAAACAAAATAAAAACAAATTCATAAGAAAGTTTGGGCATCTGAATACTGACTAGGTAATGAGGTTAGTGAAAATTATTGTTAATTATTTAGATGTGGTAATGACGTTAAGGTTGTGTTTAAAGAGAACTTCTCTAGAAAAAAAAAAAAAAAGAGGGCCAGGTGCAGTGGCTCATGCCTGTAATCCCATCACTTTGGGAGGCCAAGGTGAGTAGATCACCTGAGGTCAGAAGTTCAAGACCAGCCTGATGAATATGGTGAAACCCTGTCTCTACTAAAATTACAAAAATTAGCCCAGCTTGGTGGTGGGCACCTGTAATCCCAGCTACTAGGGAGGCTGAGGCAGGAGAATTGCTTGAACCTGGGAGGCAGAGGTTGCAGTGAGTTAATATCATACCACTGCACTCCTGCCTGGGCGACAGAGCAGGACTCCATCTCAAAAAATAAATTAATAAACTAATTAATTAATTAAAAGAGTTCTTAGCCCTTAGACATACATTTGGAATTATTTTAAAGTGGCAAAAGCAGGATAACTCCATGCACTCTCCCCTCCCGTCCTCTTTCCGCCACCTTTCGGTGCCGCCACAACGGTGCGCATGAATGTCCTGGCTGATGCTCTCGAGAGCATCAACAATGCCGAAAAGAGAGGCAAACACCAGGTGCTTGTTAGGCCGTGCTCCAATTCATCGTCCGGTTTCTCACTGTGATGATGAAGCATGGTTACATTGGCGAATTCGAAATCATTGACGATCACAGAGCTGGGAAAATTGTGGTCAACCTCACAGGCAGGCTACACAAGTGTGGTGTGATCAGCCCCAGATTTGATGTGCAACTCAAAGATCTAGAAAAATGGCAGGATAATCTGCTTCCGTCCCGCCAGCTTGGTTTCATTGTACTGACAACCTCAGCTGGCATCATGGACCATGAAGAAGCAAGACGAAAACACACAGGAGGGAAAATCCTGGGATTCTTTTTCTAGGGACGTAATACATACATGTACAAATAAAATGCCTCATGGACTCAAAAAAAAAAAAAAGGTGGCAAAAGCAGAAACAAACAAAAAAAAAACTTCATCTTTCCTCAGATGCGTCCAGGACCCTCCTGGACACCAGCCATGCTCCAGCCCCTCCCCAGCTTGTCCTCTTTCCCAGCATCCTCTCTGGTTTTCCCTTCCACCCACAGCCTCCTCCGCCCAGATTCACCTTCACTCTGCTGGGCCCTGCAGCAGGTCCAGCCAGCATGCATGAACCCCTAGCCCTCTCTATTTCTTGCTCCCCTAAGTAAAAGAACTTGTGTTGGCTGCAGGGACCCGGAGCTGGTCCAGACACAGCTCCACTGGCTTCAAACTGTCACTATGTACAGAGCTGACAGTACTGGAGTCAGCTCAAATGCCTCTTCCAGGAAGCCCCCGTTGACTACCCTCAGTGCCATAACACCTACTCCCAGACCTATCGGAAATATAGCCTGTTGGTTAAGAGCAAGGGCTCTGGGGCCAGATTGCCTGCTTGATAGTATATCCTGGGTCCTCCATTAGCTGTACTACCTCCAATAAGTTACTTCAATTCTCTGTGCCTCAGTTTCCTCTTTTGTAAAATGAGGATACTAATAGCTATGACCACATAGTGTTGTTTTGAGGATCAAATAAGTCAATGTATTTAAAAAGGCATCAAAATATAATGTATCAGGATTGGTGCACTAACTGTGACAAGGTATCCTACAAACGTAAGATGTTAATCACAGGGCAACTGGGTGTGGGGTATATGGGAACTCTCTGTACTATCTTTATTTTTATTGTTTATTTATTCTGAGACAAGGTCTCACTGTGTCATCCAGGTGAAGTGCAGTGGTGTGATCTCGGCTCACTGCAACCTCCACCTCTCAGGCTCAAGTGATCCTCCCACCTCAGCCTCCCAAGTAGCTGGGACCACAAGCACATATCACCATGCCCAGCTAATTTTTGGTAGAGACTGGGTTTTGCCATATTGCCCAGGCTGGTCTCAAACTCCTGAGCTCAAGTGATCTGCCTGCCTCCGCCTCCCAAAGTTCTGGGATTACAGGCATGAGCCACTGTGCCTGGCCTTGTACTATCTTTAGAGATACAATGTTTTTGTAAATTTTAAATTAGTCTATAAAACTATTCTATAATAAAAGGTATTACAAAGCAGGCCAGGCAGGGTGGCTCACACCTGTAATCCCAGCACTTTAGGAGGCCGGGGCAGGTGGATCACTTGAGGCCAGGAGTTCAAGACTAGCTTGGCCAACATGGTGAAACCCCATCTCTACTAAAAATACAAAAATTAGCCAGGCATGGTGGCACATGCCTGTGATCCCAACTACTTGGGAGGCTGAGGCAGGAGAATCACTTGAACCTGGGAGGTGAAGGTTGTAGTGAGCCGAGATCACACCATTGCACTCCATCCTGAGTGACAGAGCAAGACTCTGTCTCAACAACAAAAAAAAGGTATTACAAAGCATCTGTGTGTCAGAGCCCATTATGGCATAGAACTTCTCACTGCATTGAAATGATGTTCCATCTGCCTCCCTGCAGACTGGGAGCTCCAGGGAAGAGGCTGCGCCCCAGTGGCCTTTGCATGCCCAGTCTCAGCAAGGCCCCTGGTCTGAAAAAGGTGCTCATTCTCATATGAAGTTTGTAGTGAGGGAATGACTGAATGAGTGAGTACAGGGACTGGCCAGTCTTCTTCCTTAATGGTAACACACTGAGCACCCAGTGAGTCCTAAATAAGCCCTTGGCACTTGACGTCCTAGCTAGTGCTGGTGAGTTTAGGGTCAGGCCCAGAGACAAGAGCTCTGTGTATGGCCCTGTAGCCTGTCTTGGGCCGAGGGCTCAGCCTGCTCCTTGGATCCCAGAAGCAGGATCTGTGGGCAAAGCTATGGGGAGGCAAAGTCCAGTGTGCTGTGACGAAGATTTTTCTATTCTGTATACCCATAAAAAATAAAAATAAAAACAGGCCTGGTGGCTCATGCCTGTAATCGCAGCACTTTGGGAAGCCAAGACAGGCGAATCATTTGAGGTCAGGGGTTCAAGACTAGCCTGGCCAACATAGTGAAATCCTGTCTCTACTAAAAATACAAAAACTAGCCAGTGTAGTGGCGTGCAACTGTAATCCCAGCTACTTGGGAGGCTAAGGCAGGACAATCTCTTGAGCCTGGGGGGCAGAGGATGCGGGGAGCCAAGATCGCACCACTGCACTCCACTCTGGGTGACAGAGTGAGACCCTGTCTCAGAAAAAAAGAAAAGAAAAGGCCAGGTGTGGTGGCTTACGCCTGTAATCCCAGCACTTTGGGAGGCTGGAGCCGATGGATCACCTGAGGTCAGGAGTTTGAGACCAGCCTGACCAACATGGTGAAATCCCATCTCTACTAAAAATACCAAAAAATTATCGAGGACAGGTGGTAGGTGCCTGTAATCCCAGCTACTCGTGAGGCTGAGGCATAAGAATTGCTTGAACCCGAGAGGTAGAGATTGCGGTAAACCAAGATCATCTCATTGCACTGCAGCATGGGTGACAGAGGGAGACTCCATCTCAAAAAAAAAAAAAAAGGTCTACCTTGGTAATGAGGTAATGAGCTCCTCATCCCTGGAAGTATGTGAGTAGAGGTTGAATGGCCCAAGCCATTCACTCAGACTTTGCCAAGACGCCTTGTCTAGGGGCCTCCCTACAGCCCAGTGCCCAAGGACCCACAGAGAAAGTCCAAGCTCAAAAAGGCATTCACTGATTAAGTTCCATTTTGTAGATGAGAAAACTG